GCCGGTGCTGGGGCCCGAGCGCCGGGCGGAGTGCGAGCGGGGTCCGCAGCCGGAACCCGGGCCAGGCCGGGGTTCGGGACCGCAGGGCCGGGCTGCTCGTAGCGGCGGCGACAGAGCCCCCCAGTGGCTGAGGGGCTTCCTCCCGGCTCCCGCGGGTGGCTGGGACCCAGCGAGCCCCGCAGCCGGAGACCGCGGGGATCCCACCTCCACATCCAGGATTTTGCAAGCCCGGGGAAAGCGGGGAGGGGGGCGCGGATCCAACACTGAGCATCTTCCCCGCGGGGATTTGCGGAGACTTCCTTGTGTTCCGAGGACAGCGACCTTCCCCACGGCACCGCGAAGACGCCCTCTTCTGCCTGTCCCCCGAGATCCCGAACTCTGGGCCCCGACCGGGATCGCAGGAGCCCCCTCCCAAGACCCCGGTCATTACTGCTCCACACCTGAAGACACGAAGACCCAGCTCCAACCTCCCCTAAATCAGGGGATCCCACCCCCCAACTCTGGTACACAGAAACCCCAAATCCAGGACCCGAGGACAGCAAGAAATAGTTCTCACCAGCAAGAAGCCTGGGCGACCCCCTTTAAAGACCCGAGCCACGGAGCCACTCGCATCTCAGCCCGTGATTGTGGCGCCCTGAGCCCCCCGGGCGGGGCAGACGGAGACCGAGACGGCGCCCAGGCCCCCTGCCGCGGCTTCCCCGCGGCCCCAGCCCAGGTAAGCTCGGCCCACGTGAGGGGCGGCAGGTGAGCGGCCAGAGGTCCCTAGCGCCCCGCAGGTGGGGAGGGAAGTATTGGGCGAGCACTCCCCCTCCCCAGCGTCGCCATGGAGCCGAGGCTGAAAGACGTCTCTTTGTGTCTCGCTTGGAGGAACCGCCCCCTCCTCCCCTCCCTTCCCCCAGCTTACACCCTGTCCCTGAGGTTTGGGGGCAGCTCCGGGCCCCAGGAGAGTGGTTATGGAACCCCATGTTTCATGGAGGAAGAGACGGAAGAAGGTGGAAAGTGTCCCTCAAAAAACCTGAGTCTGTAGTGTTGGACTGTAGGTCCTTGGAATATGTGGACTACCCCCCCCCCAAGGCCAGGCTGAGTTCTCAAGAGAATAACCGCCCCCCCAAATCTGGGAGCGCCCATAGGTGAGGGTGGCTGCCGCGTTTGGCTCTAGATAACCACATGAGCTTTGGGTGTGTGTCTTTGTCTGAGAGAGCAGGGAAGGGGTGTGTTTGAAAGAGTGGGAATCCCTTACCCTGGTGCCTGCTCGCTCCCTCCCAGGCTGCAGCACAGGTCTTCACCTGGACCATACTTGTGTTCCCTGCAGGACAGGGAGGAGGCAAGCCCGAAAAGTAAGAAGGGGTTTCTTGGGCGGAGAGGTCATCTCAATGAAGAAGCCATTTCGGGTCAGAGCGCCTTCCTGTCCCCATATGGCCTAGGGACAGCAGACCCAAAGTCCTACCTTCTGACCTCCAAAACTGTCAGGGGCAGACTGAGGTTGGCTCAGCATGTGCCAGACAAGCAAGGAGCCATTGCCAGTTCTTGCTTTAGTTTTTTGGGGAGTCTACAAAGCATCCTCATCCTGTCCCTTAGTGAGGTTCTTAAGCTAGGAGGCACCCAGGAGATGCTGCACCGTGCAATATTGAAGAAAGGCTGGCCTGTACTAAGAACACTCCAGGCTGTGGGTCAGTCCCCCCCACACCCCTCTTCCCTTTGACGCCTCTGAAAACAGGCATTGGTGCCAGCCCCAGTTGGTAGTGAGGAAAGTGAGGCTCAGCCGGCAGCACCCAGGTACTACAGGTAATCCACAGCAGTTCCTTTGTTCACTTAAGCATTCAAGCCTTGCGTTAGTGTCTGTGTTGTGCCAGGTGCTGGGTCAGGACGCCCTTTCAGCAGACCCTTGGCTGGTCTCAGTTTGCCCAGGCTGGCTTGGTTGGGCCAATTAGGGTGACCTGGGCAGATCTAACTGACCAGGTCTTTGACCCCCACCCCAGAGATGCCTGATGTCCCTGTTGCTGCAGATCTGGGGTCCCTGAGCCTGGACAGCTGGTGCCTCTTCTGCCCTTTCTCCACAGTGCTGCTGACCCTTAGGTGAGATCCGCAAACCTTTTGCAATCTCCCCTGCAAATTCAAGAACAGCTGAGGTACCCATTGTGAGCAGAGGCTGTGGGGGAGCCAGCTGCCCTGAACACTGGGTGACCTTGGGCAAATGTGTGACATTTCCCAGAGAGAATGGCAGACAGCAAGCCACTCACTCCACAGCCGCCAGGGCAGGTGTGGATGCACACTGGACTGTGGGAAGCACCTGGTGTGTCCCCATTATCTCAGAGCCCCCCCCCCCCATGAGGTTCAGAGCCTAGGTCCTTAACACGTCTCAGGCAAGAGAACAGAACCAAAGGCGGAAGACCAGGGATTTGAGTCACTGCCTACCACCAGGGACAACCATTAGAGGAGGACTTCCCCTCTGTAACCCACAAAGGCTCTCTGTTGAGTACAGAGTGAAGTAACTGAACAGCCCAGCCCTCTGCAGTTGGGCCCTGACCCACCCCTCGAGCAGTTTCCGCTCCCCAGCTTCCTCCTGCCCTCCTGCCCCCTCATCTTCTCATCCTTGTCCCCCATTGTACACTGTTCTCCTGACCGAGAACCCACTCACCTCCTCTTTTGATCTGACCTCAGCTGGCCCAGAGAGGCCACTGGAGGATTGGTGGCTTGGAGACCCAGCATGCGTCTTCTTGTGCTCTCAGTGTCCGTATTGCTAGACTTTGAGCTCCAGGAAGCCATGGATATGTGTCCCTGTGCTACGCTGAAATTGTCAAACTCAGAGCTCTGTGTCTTTTTTTGTTTTGTATTTTATTTTATTGGTACCTGGGATCGAACTCAGGACCTTGCGTTTACCAGGCAGGTGTTTATGCCACTGAGCTACCTCCCTGACGTGTTTTGTCCTTTTGAGTCAGGGTCTCGCTCTGCAGTTCAGGCTGGCCTTGAGCTCACTTTGTAGCCCAGGATGCTCTCTGCCTTGCAGTGACCTCCTGTCTCAGCCTCCCAAGTGCTGGGATTGCAGGCGTGCGCACCACGGCTGGCTTTGAGAGTGCCGTATCATGTGCAGCACAGATCCTAAAGTACAGTTCACAGATGCATGTAGCTGGTCCAGGGTGTTTTGCAGTTGTATTTATTGCCAGTGCCAAAAAATGAGGTGTGCGTGTGTGGCATTCAAAAGTGACTTGAGAGCCAGACATGGTAGTACATACCTGTAATCCCAGCACTCTGGGAGGCTGAGGCAGGAGGATTGCAAGTTCAAGCCCAGCCTGAGCAACTTAGCAAGACCCTGTCTCAAAACAAAAAATAAAAAAAGGGGTTGAGGATGTAGTTCAGTGCAAAGGCTTCAATCCTAGTGTTGTCCTCCCCCAAAAGAAAAAGATTTGAAAGTCCTTTAGAAAAATGGGGCAGTGTGACAGTTATAGTCCAGAGCCAAAGAATGGCTCTGCTGACATGACCTGCTGGGAGGAGGCTGGAAAGATGTTTGCCCAGCCGGTGACCTTCGCCCATGCGTCCTGCCTGTGTGTGTTCCCTCCTCCCTGGGGCAGATTAGAACTTGTACAGGACAGTATCCAGCTGGGTCTGATGGCTCAGTGCTGCAGCGAGCCTGGATTTCTGGGTCCGGCCTGACCTTGTATTCTAAGCCCCATCTTTCGCCCTCATCCTGCCTATGTGGAGTGTTCTGTCACGGAAAACCCGGCTGCATTCTGCTATGTAGAACAGAGGTTCAAGGTTTTGCTGAGGACCCCTGGAGGAGGGCCACCCTGGGCCTCCGCTGACCTGTCTGTCATGAGGAGCACTGGCCTAAAGTTCCTCTTGGCTGCGGGCTTCATCCTTGTCTCGATTTTCTACGACTGAGTTTTAAGTTTGGGTCCTGCGACAGAGAGCGCCCTAGATGCAGCAGTCTGTCAAACACTAGTGAGGTTGATGGGTGTTGCCAAGCAGTTGGGCTGGAGGCCAGGGCCACAGCCCTGGGCGGAAGGGAGCCAGCATTCTGGGCAAAAGAGACGGCAGAGCACCCTGGAGGAGAGTGGCAGTACCCCACTGAGCTGCTGGGTGACCCTGGCAAGCCTCTTGCCTTCCCTGGGACACACTTTACTTCTCTATAAAGCAAGGCTGATGCCATCTTCATGCGGTCATCCAGGGAAGAAGTGCGCTGAAGCCTGAGAAGGGCCTGGGACGGGGTCTGCCACATAAGGTGTCGCAGAAGTCGCTGGTTCTTACAGAAAGAGGCGCGAGCAGGAGGGTGACTAACGCTGGGAGCTGGCTAGCGCGGCCGAAGGCTTTGGGTGCTGTGGGCCAACCCTTCACTGACCTTAGGAGGGTGAAGCGGCCCCTGGTGGGAGGCAGGGCTGTGGTTTCAAGGCTGCAGGTCTGGAAGCATCCTTCTGGTGCCTGTTGTGAAGCTCTGCCTGAGAGGCGGGGCCTGGGTGGCCTGGCCGGGTCCCTAGGGAAGGCCCTCTGTGTTGTCAGCCTCTGCTCTCCAAGTAAGGCCCCTGTGGCCCCTTCAGTGGAGCAATTGCTGGTGGGACCGGAGCCCGAGTGGCTTTTCCATCAGGCCCAGGGGCTTCTCCTGCTCACGCCCCCTTCCCAATTCCCAGAAGCAGCAGCAGCAGCAACAGGGCTTGAAAGGGCCCAAGTCCCCCCTTGGGCAGGTACCTCCTTGCTTGGCCACACCCAGAGAGCAGAGAGGGCCCCAGTCCAGCTCAGCTCCCGGGAGAAACCAGTAATGCCTGAGTTGAAGGAAGCAGTAGAACGAGTCTTAATGTCCAGGATACCATGCCAGGCACCAGCATTTTTTCATTGCAAGGGGCGCCCCATGAAATCCAGAGCTGGGGCCTGGGCTCTCCACCATGCACGAGCCGGGCAACCTTGGACAAGTCATGGTGTTCTGGGTCTCAGGTTCCTCTGCTGTGCAATGACGGCTCCTGCTTCTTGAGGGCATGCGAGGATGGAATGAGTCTATTGCGGGTAAATCACTGGAGCTGGGCCTGCTGCTTCATGTTTGATCTTGAGCTCTTTCATGCCCTGCTGGGGCAGGCGAGTGAGCTGCCCCAGGGCCTGAAGCCCGCTGTGACTGCCCGCTGCGCCAGCACTCCTTCCCTGGGGCTTCGGCACTCTGGGGAGGGAAAGAGGAGGTTTGAACGGCTGCTGGGCATTGGGGTGGCCCTGAGGGATGAGGACAGCGCAGGGTGGGGTGGGCAGGACAGCCGTGTCTCCTCCACTGCCCTTAGCAGGAAGGGCCTCACTTGCTCCTGAGCTGAGGCTTTGCGACTCTGAGCCAGGGCTCCAGACCTGGTGGGGAGAAGACCCGCACTCCCTGGGAGCTGGCGGTCTCCAGAAGGCCAGCAGTTAACATAGCTTGGGTTACAAGCACTTGACCCAACTGTGTGGCTCAGATGGGGGGCCTGGCCTCTCTGGACCTCAGACCCTGTCTACGGGAAAGGGAACACAACATCAGTGCCTGCCAGGTGGGATTGGGTTAACTGACTGAATGTTTGTGAAGTGCATGAATGCTGCCCACTTGTTAATCTTGGTTCCTCAAAGCCCTGAGCAGCAAGGGATGAAAGTTGAGGGCGTGGGGTAAAGGGCTTTACTTGAGTTTCCTCATCCGGGACTCCAGGGTGGTTCTGGCAACCCTCTAACTGTTCCCCCACAAGCACAGTGGATCAGAAGGAGCCAGCAGAACTGACC